TCGAGTCGTCTATTAATCCGAGGGTGTTATACCCTGAGCTTCGTAAACGATAAATGTCAAATGTTCTCTCTATGTTCAGCTATAACGTTATGACATCATTCGTTACATACGGTGTACCTTAAGAACGGAAATTTCTATCTGTATAAATAACGCCGAAACGGCGCGAGCGGAGAATTTAGACGAATGATCCAAAGGAGCCATTCAAACCGGAACTTTTCGTCGCCTCCATTTTCCACCGAGAGTTCGATTTAAATGCTTCCTGAGTATACTTAAAACCACATTCGTAACGTTTCGCTGAAACTCGTTACACGGGATAGACAGAAGTAAGTCATTTACATTAGTGAAACAGAAAATCGGTTTCCACTTTAACGGGATTGATTTGCAGTTTGATGTTGGTCGAGCATTTTTAAATCGTTTCGTTTAACGCTACGAATTTAGATGTTTGCACGTTTTAAATACAAGAATTTGGTATATTCAATTTTTCCAGTCGGATTACATCTTAATTTATGTGCTTCGATGATCGATCTCCGTGTTTTTCTATTTATATGAACGTCTGTTTTCACATTCGGTTAGTAGTTACTTGGAAAGATTGAAATTCGAGAAACTATAGCGTTCTCTTTATAATAAATATATGTATACAGTTGCAATTGTCATTCGCAAAGTACTCTATATTTTCATTGAACAACGAAGTATCTATGCTCTACTACTTCCGTTCTTTTTTTTTCTTTTCTTTGGTATTTCGAACATCGCGTAATGTATGCCAGGTATGTAAATATGAAACCGGAACTTGTGTATAGAAAATATACGTTTATCGTATGAAAAATGATTAAAAATATTTTACTCGAAGTATTGCCCATCGCTAGCTATACATTTTTCCCACCTGTCTGGCAATTGGTGGATGCCACGCCAAAAAAACTGTCGCTCTTTTGAGGCAAACCAGTCATCGAGCCATTTTCGTATATTTTCGTAAGAAGCGAAGTGCTAGTCAGAAAGTGCGTGTCCCATCGATGCAAATAAATAGTAATCGGACGGAGCCAAGTCTGGTGAGTAAGCCGCGTGCGAAAGTATTTCCCAACTGAACGCTTCGATCGTTTCCTTGACCGGTTTTGCTGTATGCGATGGTGCATTATCACGAAGCAAAATTACTTTGTGTTGCCTTTTTTGATATTCTGGTCGTTTTTCACGCAAAGCTCGATTCAAATCGATCATTTGTTGTCGGTAGCGCTCGGTATTAACGGTTTCGCCAGGTTTTAACAGCTCATAATAGATCACACCCTTTTGATCCCACCAAACACAGAGTATTGTCTTACGTCCATAGCGATTTGGTCTTGTAGTCGATGTCGGTGATTCGCCTGGAGCTACCCATGATCTTTTACGCTTAGGATTCTCAAAATATATCCTTCGATATAGATCGCGACGTTGCGTCGCGTCGCGTGGTTTGTGTTTTAGAAACGCAGTCGCGCACGAGCGTCATGGCACCATTTAGCGTTGCGTGAAATGGTCGACTAAAATTGTGTCTTACGTTTCTTTCTTATCTACGTTAACATAATAATACAAACGCGATTAAACGTAATCGATTTCTATCGAAATTATTACATTTTTATGACCAATTTCAACGGAAGAATCAACGGAAACTTAAAAATGAAAAAACTCACGACTCAATTAGGAATGGGAGGAAGTTAGCCGGTCGAAGTGAACAAAGTATCGATTATGATTCGATAATTCTTTACGATCTGCCAATAGTAAGAATGGTACGTGTTTATGCCAGCAGAATTAACTGAATCGCGTTTAATTAAGGTACGTCTCCCAACAACGTCGATAACTCGATGACTCGACGGAAAATGTTTTCAAATTCCAATTATTGGATCTCGTTGAAGTTCTGTTTACGAGCACACGCTTAACATTATGTACTCGAATTCGTGTATAATCTGCGACTTCATAGACATATCCAACCCCCGTGATTGTAATTTCCCGTAAATGCTCTTAAACCACTTAATTTTTGGCTTTTCACTTTTCGAATAGCAGTTGTAACATAGAAACGTTATTGTATTATTTTAGACAGTTTGTTCTCTATTGCGATAACTAGCGTCTATGTTATTTAAGCTGCTTTCGAACGAATTAAACTTTGAACGAATTCTCGAAGAGAGGAGATATAAAATTTCAGAATTTTCTGCATAATTTTTTAATTCTACGCGAATGAGAGGTCGTAATCGAAATACTCGAATCGATGGTAAAACGAAAAAAATCGAAACGATCTCTCGGTAGATGGTTAAAAATAGTCAGATAGAAATTGCGCGCCTAAATATATTTTCTCGAGAAGACCAATTAATCGAACGTAGCAAAGCTTTTACGATTAATAATGATACCGAATTGCGATAGAATATATATAATTTAGCCACAGTGACCAATATACATAGTTACCGTGAAGATTTAGACCACTTAAAAGCACGATTAGAGAGCTGCGAACAATTTGTGGAAGATTACCGAACTAACTTTTTAACTTACGTATCGTCGCAGCACATGTAAAACGCGTTTGTTAATTTATACGCCAAACGACTTTTCAACGATAACTATTTCTTCTTCTACCGTGTCACGAACACAGAATTCGAATAAATTCGTATTCTAAATAAAAAGAAATCATCTTGTACAGATCGGTGTGATAAATCTCGCTAATTATATATTGTATTATTACGAAACATCTTTTTCAAACCGTTAAGTACCACGCTTTACAAGTACTTTAAGTACACTTATATAATGAGCGATTAAAAGGAAAGTTTCATTTATAATTCGACAAACTTTGATCCTGATGGTTAAAAAGGATACACATACATATATGTATAGGAACACGATGAAACTATTTATTAGATGACAGGTATCTGTGGATTTACAAAATATTGAAACGTGCAAAAATGTTCACGATACGCACAATGTACAAAAACATAGGCAGAAAATATGCAAAATAGAGCGCTCGTATTACCGATATTTGGAAAACGAGTCCAAAATTTAAATCTAATTTAATTCTTAGCCGTATTCGGCGTTGCCTAATTCTTCCTTCCACAAACGTATTTATCTTACGATATTGGAGCGCGCTGTTCGTACTTTTACGATACTTTTACAGTACAGAAGAGTCATTATATTTATAATAACATGCATATCGTAACCCACATATACGACGAGAACAAAAAAGGTAAAGAGAGCGCAGCATGGAACACGTTTACGACTGCGACTATAAAATAAGTTTTCATACTATGCAACGTTCTTCTGTATAAATTATCTATGTAAACCCTTCGCGTGGCCGGTATTTCCATGCGAAGTTTGAAAACTTTTTAGCTAATCGAATTGATCGTTTTGGAAAGAGCATCGTGTGCGTTTATAGGGTAAAAATGAAAGAGTCGGGGCAAGGGTGCCGATACGAGGGCCGAGGGAATTAAAAGAACGAAACGTACGGAGGAAGAAGGGAGAGCGCACGTATTGGCGAAAGGGCGTATACGAGGTTTCATTTCCGAGAAGGGCTGTAAAGATTGCTCGCGTGCAACCTTTTATATTATAGAGAGTTACATATTTCTCGCAAACTCGCCACTATATCGCTCCATAATAATAAGGCTAATGCCTTGCAAATTAAGTAGAGAAGCGAAAGGTCTTTTACGTGGCTTTACGTCCGTTTAAACCGCCGAAGCCCGATGTTCGTCGACGATGCACGATTAGTGCGATACGGCATCAAGGCGATGCTCGTTTAATTTTAGCCATACGGGATTCGTACATTACGATATACATAGATACGTAGATATATCCTATATGTGTCGAATTTGTAAATTTTATTGAATTCGTAAACGCGCAACGTTGTTCAGCTTCTCTAGCGTTAAATTAAATTTGTTCCTTATTAGAAATTCTTGCAGCGAGTATTTACCAGATATAGAGCTTCTAAGTTACAATCGTTAAACAGTGGTTTCGAATTTTATCGTATAATTTAAACGTTTAACGTGGAACTATTTTGTCGTGTCCAAATTAAATTTTCAATATGTTAAGAAATAAGTGAAAAAGTGGTGTTCAGCAACGGGTTAAAAGATCGTTTACTAAAAAAAGATTATAATAAAACGTTCGAACGTCATTCGACTAGTCAATTACGTATGAATATGTATTAATGAAGCGCAACTGATTCATCGTACACGAGCGACAAATCACTCCTGTAAAGAGATGGGAATAGGGTTTGCTCTACAGAACGAGATTCTCACGGCTTGTCAGACTTGATTAAGATATTGCGAATTACATCCGTATATCGCTGTGTAACGTTCGCGTGACATAATCGTCGTAATAGCTGTTCCGGATACGACTGATAAGTGCGTGATACACTCTCCTTTCGATAGAAATTCATACGCGTGTAGAAGACGATCGACGAGAACGAATAGACGATCGTTCATTTTCCCGCTAAATCTCAACTTGCTGTATATCAAGTGTACCAGCTACCTTGGATCATTACGTATAATATTAGTTATTTGTTTTGTCACTTTGTGATACAATCGATTCTATACACTACGGTTTGGTTTTTCTATGAAAAAAAGTCACTGTTGAGAATTTTATTCTTTCATTTTAACCTTTCACTGCTTGCAATGTCACTCTCGGATTTCACTGTTTTACTTTAAAAATATTACGCTTTTTGATATAAAAAGATAAATAAATAAATAAAAGCGATACAAGTACGAGTAAATTTTTGAAACAGAGTTCGCTGTGTGATAAATATTTCTCGGATAAAGATTTATTTGGGTATAATATTGTTTTGTATTTTTTCCGTAGTAATGATAGCGAATAAATCGATAACGGAAATGAAAGCAATTTGTCACGATGAAATTGATCTAGCGTCGTGTCACTCGTAAAAATTGTCATAATACGATATCACGGTGAGAAAAGAATTATTAGCGAAAACCAGAGAAAAGAATATACTCTTCGCGTTTTGATAGAAATTGATAAAAGTGGAAAAAATTAAAGGATCGTGTGTTACTTACCGACCACTTGCAGGTAACCAGTTTGACTTTTCATTGGATCCGTATTAATCTGACACATGTACCATCCCCTGTCAGATTCTTTTACCTCTCGTATGTGGAGAAACCACGTGCGATGATCGCTGTGAGAAACGGCTATTCGATGGTTTTTCGTGATAACGTGACTAGCTATCGTTAATATCGTTTGGGTATCTACCCGCAACCATGCTACCTGTAACAAATTGAAAGTTTTCGCTACAGTATCCAACAGGATAATCGTATTTCTAATTTTCAATTTAACATCGCAAACAAGCTGTATAACAGATGTGTTTTACGCCATATTACCCAACTTTGTTCGCAATAAAAATATAGATACGCAGGTATATAGTTCTTTAACCACACAATGCTACGAAAATGTTGAAACGCTTGTGACGTAAAAAGGTATTTCGGATATTTGCGCGTCTATCCGAAATTTCAAGCAACAACGATGCACGAAAATATAACACGAAAAACAATAAATATAACTATCTAATTTTGTGAAATGCCACGCGATACGATAAATGTAACCAGGTATTTAATTCCGATCTCCAACAAAAATTGATAAATTAAACGAGACATTTCAATTAAATTTTGACATTTTTACGTAATTACTTTTCGCTAAACTGCGAATGTTCGTAATTGATGGAATATTTAATTGTACAAAAGTGTACGCGCAAAATGTACAGAATTTCAATAACAAAGTTCGAGATTCGATTATATAATAATGTTTCGAGAGCGAAATAAATCTCTATTTAGGTGCATCTCTCTTAGGTTTCTCTAGGTGTATTTAGAAAAAATATAAATTTAGATAAACATCGATACGATACATTAAAAATTCCATTGTATTTTTTACCAACACCGTTATATCTATAAACTATAGATCCATAGATAACGTCACAGCTACTTCAAAATTATAGGTAAATATTTCTACACCTGCACTCTAATCTAATCTAATAATCGAATCTAATACGTCGAGAATCCTATGTTATATCTTTTCCGTCGCTAATATATCGCTTTCATTAGCGGTAATTTGAGAAGAACGTGATTCTAGAACGTGTCCCTGGATACGTTTTCGGTCGAAGGAGCTTCCGGTAGACTCGCGGTCTAGTCAGGCGAAAAAAATTGCAGCACCAAAGAAAAGTAAATATTCTGCTTGTTGGCTGCACTTTGGCGCTGGTCGGCAAAGAAACGGCGAAAAAGAAGAGAGGGGCGGGGAATGGGAACGCTAAAAAGGCTACGCGCGAGCGCATGCAGCTGCAAAAGCGTAACCGTTGGCTCGCAGTAAATCAACCTGTTAAGAAAATGTGATCTGTTCGTAAAAAAGCGCAAGATACGGGAAGACCATTCACAACGGGGACCGACACCCCGTTGAAGTTATATTCCGGCTGCGAAGGGTTGAATCGTCCGTACGCGTACCTGTATTTTCGATTCACCCCTTTGTGCTACGATTACCAACATGCGATCACGCTTATTTCCACGCTTATGTGCACACGAGCTTTACTATTGGCTCGGGCAATATTTTCGTTTACGGCGCGTTCATTCGCCTTCAAAGGCGAAGGATAATGGAATTGCTGTTTCGTCGGGTAAACATTTATCCGGCGGGATATCTCTTGGTCCTGTAATTTTTACAGCGACGTGCCTCTGACTTTGCCTATGGCACGCAACTGCCACGCTTGCCAACTCTTTCTGTTTTCCTCCGGAAATATCGCGGCTTTCTTACCTCCGGAGTAATGTTTGTTCGCGAATGAGCCGTTTCTATGGTAATTTTGCGAATATCAAATAGTCACAATTTTTTAGAAGCGGCTTAGTACTCGTTAGAGTACTGTATATTCCGTGTCACGCGAGTACTTACAATCATTTAAGTATAATTTTTACAAATCCTGTTAAGTAAATATAATTATCGTTGATCGACAGATAAACAAAGAATCGAAATAAACGATAACGTCGCACGTAAACTATTTTTTGGCTAAAACTTCGCACTACACGTTTATTGGGAATTTTACATATCGTTTCGATATATTTTGTAGCAAATGCCTATGAAAATACGTAGAATATAAAGAAAGACGTTAAACGGTAATCTGCAGCGTATATGTTCCTTGCCTTGCATTTGTAAGGTTTACAACGATCGAAATTAGAATACTTTTTAAATGAATTACCTTCAGACTCAAATACGTAATACGCACGAGCGGAAAGTTGGCTAACGAAACAGTCAACGAGAGACGTACTGTATTTGTTCCTGTTCCGAGATCTATAGATTCAGACGATCGGCGGACGATTCTGTTATACATACTATAAACCAAATAGATCCGAATTTAGCAAATTTTCGAACCTCGGTGATCAAGTACTCGCTTTAATACTTTTTTTTATGAAAAAAAAAAAAAAGAAACGCATCGATCGATATTAGTATACAAACATTAGTATATAAACATAGATCGTTTTTAAATTAAGCTGCATGTATATCTCTTCGCGTACATCTCGTACACGGCTTAATTTAAAGAAAGAAGAAAAATAGAGGTCACCTTTAAACGTTTCCACTGCCATAGTAACCGCATAATACCATAATACCGTACGATGCACTACTCGAAACCGCTCAATTTTGCCTCATAAAATTTTCCACCATCTATCATTTTGAAGCTATGGTTTGGCCCAGTTGTGAGAAACGCTGTATATTCGACTGCATTGAAAGGGAATTATTTATTTTAAATTTCTGCTGAATAATGGAATGCTGAATTCATTATCTGGACAATTATTGCTCTTAGTCGGACATTAATTGCAGCAATTGAATGGAACATCCGTAAATGGTCAATAAAGAAAGGTATCGTTCTTCGATAAAACAGTATTAGCCCTCGTGTATCGACAAAGAGTCTGCAGACACTATTGGTCTTTAACTGAAACGTTCTGTTCCATCCGTTTCATTCAGTGGACACAGTATCGTTCAATTATCATTTCTGCTAGTACTTAACAAAATCGTTCAACACGATCATTGTTAATCGAACGTTCTCATCGTTTATTGTACGTTAATTGCTAAATAATTTTCATGCGAAATTAATTTTTATCGTGCGAATTATTACAAAAAGCCATAAAAAATTTTGCGATCCATTTAATAAATTTTCCATTTATTAGGATTTAGCGAATAAATATCTTGACTTTAAAAAATTTTTAATTATATGGATATATGAAACAGGTTACGCTTATCGATAACATTTATCCTGAAACGACATCTAATTACACAACGAATTAATAAAAAGTGGGTGATATTCATGTTGGAACGCAAGTAACTTTATTAAAAAGAATCGATAGTTTCAAATTAGCTTCGAATAAATCGCTAATAACGTCTAATAATAATAAGATTTTTAATAAATGAAACATTTCCTTTTAGCATTGGATAAATGTGCGAGATTCGCAACGGTAATCTTAAACGCGACGAATGATACTAAACGTTCAAAGAGACTATTTCGTGTCGAATATTGCGCGAATACTTTATCCCGAATATCTTTAAATACGTGTTGAAAGTTTCATCGATCGAACGAAGCAAACAAGGCGAACAAAGCAAATCGATTTTAATTTTTCATTTCATTTGTTTATATCCGTCGAAGAGCAAATTTTATTTCTATAACCGAAGTTTATATAATAGTTCGCTAATTCTTCGTGCCGACTAGAATTTCTCGTTCGTATAATAGGAGTTTGCGTTCAGATAAGTAGATTCAATTGGCAGAAGCGCAGTTATCAAGCATTAATTAGAATTTCCTAATAAATAGAGATTAGATAAATGGAATTCTATCGTATCTCTGATGCTTTTGCTCGGTATGTTCGTTTATTATGATTCTACGTGAAGTACTTGAAATATTCATTTACGAAATTATCGTTTAAGAATTACTTTTTATTAAACCTATTGGAAATAAAACCTATTTAAAACCTTAAAAAATTGTTACGTATCTTCAAAGATAAGCCGAATATAAGGATCACCGAACGATGCAAATCGTTTCTCACGCAAACGTTAATGCCAATTTCTTCTTAAAAGCGTTACATATATATGCCATCCTCTCTACCGTATCTTAAATAATACATCTCCACCCGTTGTGTCGACATTTTGTGCTTCTACATGAAATATTTAACGGTTCGATACAGGGCTCCTATTTCGTTCGAATTGTACATTTACTTGATAACGCTTGTAATAACACGTGTCATTCGCTTAATTCGTTTCTTGACTCGTCGATGTAAAATTGAAATATCGATGTATTCGAAGTGTCGTTTCATTTTGAGAATGAATTTGTCGTTGATTCGCTATTCGTAAAACCTGTCATTCTCGATATATACGTAAAATTTTTATAGTAACAAGCATTAAAGGTTCAAGATATCCGATAGTTGTCGCGCATATGGCGAAAATCTGTTTTGCGCGATAGCATACCTGGACGAACAGCTATTAAACTAGCGAAACAAACATTCGGTTTCTCGTCGCTCGACTTCAACAGTGTGTGCGTTATTTGCAGGGGCGAAGCCCGCGTCGGAAAGAGGCTGCATCAAGTGGCGAGCATTAAAAATAACAATGACGCATAGTTGTAGACGGTGGAGGACGGTGGAGGACGGTTGTCTCCGTAAATTACAGAAATTCGCAAGAGAAGCCGTAAATACTTGGTTATCATACTTGGCGGAAGCATGCAGGGGTATTATACCTACATTCGCGTACATCGTGGCCAGAGATGGCGCCAAGCGTGGATATGGCTTCACCGTTTCCATTCATCGGCCTGGATATCAAATGCAATAGTTCATGCCGCGCTTCCGACTAGGTGGTCGACCAGTCCTCGACCTCTACCTCCTAATCCAGCCACCCACCGTTTCACACCGGTCTCTGGCAGATTTACAGGCGGAGAGGTTTGATATCTGCATCCGAGAGTCCTGGACTAGTTCCACCTGTCCTGGATCTCTGTATACTTTCCGTCAACTTGCGCTTCCGTGAGGGCACCTTTCGAGATGAATCAGCCTCCACTAATCGGACGGATCTTTCGCTCCGTGTTTTCGCTTCTACAACGTGGCGTGGTACGTTTGACGAACGATGTCCTGTTCGACCTTGTCGAAGCGCGATATCTCGACGCGTAAATAAACAAACGATTAACGATACAGTACAACGTTTTGAGTACAACAAACAGTTTTGAGATTACTCGTTCGAGGACAGGTTGTAACACCGAGTTATTT